TCCGACTCTGGGGGTTGGTGCTCATCTCCATTTCTAAGCCGAAGAGCCAGTGTTGTCCGTAGACACCTCCAAGGTCATGTGGCCGGGATAACTGCATGGAGCGGCGTTACCTTCCTGCCAGAGCAGTACCTATTGATCTACTCACATTTTACATGTTTTCAAACTGCTATGTTGGCAGAAGCTGGGGCTGACAGCGGGAGCTCATGCCGCTCCCCAGATTTGAACCTGCGAACTTTCAGTCAACAAGTTCAGCAGCTCAGTGCTTTAAGCCACTGCTCCACTGGGAGCTCCATGTGTGTGTGTGTGTGTGTGTGTGTGTGTGTGTGTGTGTGCATGTAGTCATTGATAAATTATTCTGTGGGTACAGAATCTGTCGATATGGAAGGATGATGGTAAAAACTCAGGAGGGTCTGAGCCCAGGTTGCCCAACTATCATCCCCAGCAAAGTTTCTGTGAAGCATAACAGTTCAGCTCCCTCGTCTTTGAGGAGATCATAGGTGATATATCTTATTTTCACTGACCTTAAGAGCAAGGTGAGGTTTTGTGGGTGTTCTGGCTCCTTCTCAAATTTCCCCAGGGTGGCAGGGTTGACTGGAAGGTGAGATAGGTATCAAACACATTTCTTTCCTTCCTCTTTAACAGGCATGAGCAAAGTTTTTTGCTCTGGGGCCACATTGTGGGCCCAGCCAAGAGGGCCGGGCCAGGAGGAAGAGCAGGGTGGGCCCAGGAGGAGGTGGGGCTGGGGTGGGGTGGGTTAGGGAGGGGCAGGGGTTGGGCAAAGTGAGCCCAGGAAGTGTGAGCCCAGGGGTGGGGCAGGGCAAGTCCAGGTGGGATTGGGCAAGAGGGGTGGAGGCAGGGGGCGTGACCAAGAGCGGAGCACCCTTATACTTTCCTCTCAGCATAAGGATGGGACTGCTCACCCATCTTTATGCTAGGAGGAATGTGAGGATTTGGGGGTCCCTTGATTCCTGCCTGCTTCTCCCTTCTGCCAGCATCAGGACAAGGCCTTGCCTCATTTTTACACCAGGAGAAGGGAGAGGGTGCAAGGTGACTTTGCAGCCACTTCGCCTGCCACTTGCCTCTTTGCCCAAGGCGGGCTTCTTCTGACATTGGGACAGGACCTCTTGCGCTGTCCTTATACCAGGGGGAGGGCCCAAGGAAGGCACGCGGCAACTGAGAACACTCTAGAGGGCTCCAACTGCCACATGCCTTCTTTCCCCATCCTTTCGCATATGGACATGGCGTGCTACCATATCCTTATGCCCAGAAGAGAGAGAAAATTTTGCGGCCTGGACATAAGGACCCAGAGGGCTCCAACCCATGGGTCTTAGTTTGCCCATGCCTTTTCCATAAGGACATTGCCATATCTCCCTCTGCCCTTTATGACTCGTATTGCCAACATTGAATTAAAAATAAACAATACAGGGTCAAAGAGACAAAAAAAAAATGAAAACACAAAAGACAAATTATAAGACATTAATAACAACACTTAACACATAATCAATGGATGTATTCCCACCTGACCAGGCTGAGAGTTAGCAAGTCCACCAGCATCCTAATTCCACCAGGGGGCTGCCTTGTAGCCAACTAGATGCTTCCGGGAAGCCCTCTCACTACTACCCTGTCTTTCATCTGATTCTTTCACCACTAGTTGGTGTAACAGTCCCAGAGTGACGAGTATCTACCCAATGTGCTGTTTTTACCACAAACAATATACAAAATACATTTTTTAAAAAGAAATCCTCCTAGGCCTAGTGAACTCGGCTTTATACTGCTTCCTCCTTGAAGATTGCTGACAGCACTTCCAGATGGCCCAAAATGCAGGCCCTGTCAGAGTTTTACCTGAAGCATCTAAACGACGCCTCAGGTAAAAGAGGAACAATTTGAGACAAAGCAAATAAAAGTGCACACAAAATTTGGCATACATTCTGCATATTTGAGCTAGACACTCAAATGATAGTTTTCTCAAATATGTAAGCTAGCCTTTATACAGTAGAAACAAATATGATACGTATGGTAGAATCATGTGATAGTAAACAAAAAATCCATTGTTGGAACAATTATGACTGGATGTGCACAAAATAGAAAAAGCAAAGTATTATTTCTTATGCGCCCTTCTAGAAAATACGTGAGAATGGCCTTGAAGATGAACTGATTCATTCAAATTACAGTTTCTTATGGATTTGAAAGTTTATCTCAATTGCAGCATGAAAGACCATCTAGTTGTCTTTTCCCTCCAGTATCCCATTCAGAAGCCATAGAGGATTGCAGCTGTCATGTCACTAACACCCACCTTTAAGAAAGGCTGTATGTTTTATTCTTATGATCCCTATACATTTTCATGGCTGCTTTTCATCGGGTTGAGTATATGTGTGTGTTTTTAATGGATAGCATTTCTCTGTCCAGAAATGACTATGTTTTAGGGGGCTATAACACTGACAGGTTCTGAAGCCTTATACTTTTATTAAACATTTCAAACCAATTTTCCCATTTCTTTCAGTAGATATCTGGGAGTTATGAATGTGCAAACATAATTTGTGCTACAAGGAGGCATGTCATTCGTTTTAAATTGACTGAGATTCATGTATTACATTTTCATTTTGTCTTTCCTCCATTTATGCTTCCTTGTTATTCTTGTCATTCCCTCTCTCCACACACACAAACATCTGTTTTACCTTTGCATTTACAGTACTCTGTATGCCAGCATTCGATGGCATAGCTGTGTTAGTGTGTCTCAATATAAAGAGATATAAAGAAATCTAAAAGCACCTTCCAGACTTAGAAAAATACATTTCTAGCATAATCATTAATGAATTTCGGTCCACCATTTATTCATTTATTTCGTCTGAAAAGCATTGCATAAATTAGTATAAAACTGATTAAAAAATCTATATTAATAGATAATTGATAAAGACCTTTGGTGTTCATCCATATGTGAAGGAGGAAAAACACACCTCCAATTTAAAAAGTTTTGAATGTTTAAAAGCAATGCTTTTGGATTTGGAAAGATTATCAGAGGCATAGAGAGAAGCATCTGTGGAAAGACATGTTAGGTTAGGGCAGAGCTTTCCAAACTGTGTGTTGTGACAACACATATGTGTGTTGGCTGCAATATGTAGCTGTGTTGCACAAATATAATGGGAAATCTTTGTCTATGTGAAATAAGCAATAAATCATATGAGAAAGATTTCCATGGAATATGTTGTGTCATTGTGTCCCCATACATTTTCTTATTACAATGTGTGTATGTGTCCATATTGCATACAAGGGGTTGTTTTAACCTCTGGTTTGCTAGTCAGACTGAATTATTCCTGCAGAAGCAGTACCTATTGATCTTCTCATATCTGCATGTTTTGAACTGTTAGGTTGGCAGAAGCTGGGCCTAACAGTGGGAGCTCACCCCACTCCTTGGATTAAAACTGCCAAGCTTTCAGTCAGCAAGCTCAGCAGCTCAGCAGTTTTTAACCCATTGCACCACCAGCCCCCCCCCCCCCACTCTCTCTCTCTCTCTCTCTCTCTCTCTCTCTCTATATATATATATATATATATTACGGTCAATGGCAAGCACCAAAAAGCATTACTGTAATGAGAAATCTCTGAGTCCACATGAAATAAATAATAACCATATATTTTAATAATATAAATGACAGGTTTTCATCAGATAAGTTGTGTACCCATACATTTTGTTACTACAATTTATGTATGTGTCTCTATCTCTATCTCTATGAGGTTTAACCTCCAGTTGCTTGTTAAACTGAATTACTCTGTCACAAAATGATGCAGGTGTAAAAAGTGTGCCATCAACATGAAATGTTTAGAAAGCTCTGTTCTAACATGTTCAGTTGAAAAGCAATGTAATGCAGTTGTCTGTGGCTGTTGAATTACGACTCAATGGAACCAGAGTTCAAATCCTGTCACATTCTCTCAGCCTCAGACAAAGGTCATAGCATGCTTCTGAACAAGTATCGCCAAGGAAGCCCTAGGGCAGGGCTATCAGAAATCAGAGTTTACTTGAAAGGACACAACAAGAATATTCACTGGGGAATTCTGTGTGTGTGTGCCTTCAAGTCACCTGTCAATTAAGAGTGACCCTGTGAATTTCAAAAGGTTTTCTGAGGCAAGAAATACTCAGAAGTAGTTTGCCCTCCAAAAATGTTTCTAGTCCTACAATCCTGTTCATTTCTTTTTCTAACCCTGAAAAAGAAAAAGACCTTTTGAAAATAGAATAAATCACCAATAAAAACTGCGGTAAATAATTTATTATTTAGTAGCCATCTCCTGCCACGCGTTGCTGTGGTCCAGTTTGTGCATATGTGTTTTGTGTGTATACATATATTTGTGTATATGTGTATATTGGTGGTTTTGTGCATATGTTGTAATGTATATATTTTTTGGCTTTTTAAGTCTCTTCTGCTGTGTTTTTCAGTGTTTTTTATGAGTGATGGTCACTCGTTGGCCTGATAGGTGTCTTGTGTCCAAATTTTGTGTCAATTCGCCCAGTGGTTTTTGAATTATGTTAATCCCACAGACTAACATTACATTTTTATTTATATAGAAGAAGAAAAATGCCCTGGTCCAAGACTATGGAGCTCTAGGAATTGTAGTTTTACAAGGCCTTGTGCCTCCTCTGCTAAAGAGTGCTGGTCTCTCGCCAAACTACCAATCCCAGAATCCCATAATATTGAGCCACGACTGTTATCAAACTGCATTAATTTTACGTTGCTTATCAGCGCTCAAACCATGCTATGAATTAGAAACATTCTTGTGCATGAAAGATAGAGGGCGCTCGTTCCAGCCTGTAGAAAATCCTGTTTCGTTGTCCTGCGCATGCTCTGTACGTCAATCTGAAGCCTGTTCCCCCATCTTGCCAGTTCCATTGCTTCAATGCTGCCGCACTCGGCTGGAACCTGGCAGGGCGAAGAAGAGAGCAAATGTTGTGGGCTTCGGTGGCGCTAAAGCGCACGCGCGGAACCCACTGCGTCAGTGTGTGGCTGGCGCTGATTGGTTCTTTGCCTCGGGGACGTCTCTTTCTGGTTCGGAAGCCTCATTGCGGAATCGCAGGTATTCTTCCTAGGAAGCCCCCCTCCTTTTGCTGGGCAGTAATTGGCCAGAGTCCATACTTTGCAGTTCGCAATGGGCTCCGGCTTTCCAGTCAGAATGTGCCCTTCCACATGCAGTTCCTATCATTCATAATGGGAAGGGATGATGGGTGTTGCAGTCCAATCCCGTGTAAAAGATCTCGCGTCCCCCTTAAAGGGCCAGCAGTTCAGATAATTCAGGAGAAGAAGCAAATGGTGTTAGATGAGAAAGGAAATGAGGCTCCGTCCACACATGGCGCGCCGTCATCGTTTCCTTCCTCCTCAAACCCAGATCAACCCAGTCTTGAGTGCATCCACACTGCAGAGTTAATGCAGTTCGTCACCACTTTAACTGCTTTTACTCAGTGTTACGGAATGATGGGAGTTCTGTGCCTTGATTCGCCGCCGCTGCTTAAGAGGACTGATGCCTCACCAAACTAAAACTCCCATCATTCTAGACCTGAGCATTGAGCCATGTCAATTGAAGTGATATCAAACTGCATTAATTTTGTAGTGGAGAATCGGTGATTCCCAAACCTAATCCTCCCGATGTTTTGGACATCAGCTGGACACATGACCATGGAGGTGTCTGTGGACAATGCCGGCTCTTCAGCCTAGAAATGGAGATGAGCATCAACCCCCAGAGTCGGACACAACTAGACTTAATGTCAGGGGAAAACATTTACCATATATATATATATATATATATATATATATATATATACACACACACACAGAGGGAGAGAGACATACTATTTTTATTTTTTACTCATTTTATTATTTAATAATAGTACTAATAATAATAACCGCTCCATGAAGTCATGCCGGCAACATGACCTTGGAGGTGTCTGTGGACAATGCCGGCTCTTTGGCTTAGAAATGGAGATGAGCCCCACCCCCCAGAGTCGGACACAAGTAGACTTAATGTCCGGGGAAAACCTTTACCTTTTAATACACACACACACACACACACATACTATTTTATTATTTACTCATTCTATTATTTAATAATAGTACTAATAAATAGTACTAATAAACACTAATAACGGCACTCCACACAGTCATGCTGTCCACATGATCTTGGAGGTGTTTGTGGACAATGCCAGCTCTTCGGCTTAGAAATGGAGATGAACATCAACCCCCGGATACAACTAGACTAAATGTCTGGAAAAAAACCTTTATCACACACACACACACACACACACACACACACACATACACATACTGTTTTTATTATTTACTCATTTTATTATTTAATAATAGTACTCCTACTAATAATAACAGCGCTCCATGCAGTCATGATGGCCACATGACCTTGGAGGTGTCTATGGACAACACCGGCTCTTTGGCTTACAAATGGAGATGAGCACCAACCCTCAGAGTCGGACACGACTGGACATAATATCAGGATATCATCAGGATTTCCCTGATGATATTACCTAATAATAATAATAATAATAAGGCACATTATTTATCTATATGACTCTTATCGTTCTTGCTCAACAAAAAAAAACTAAAAGGAAGCCTTTACCTTTACCTTTCTCCCTCGAAGGAACACAAAGCGGCTTCCAACATATTAAACATGGTACAAAACAACAGCAATTAAAACACATATAAAAGTAAAGGCATGACTGCATCTAGCATCATTACCTTCCTGCAGAAGTGGTACTTATTGATCTACTCACATTTGCATGTTTTCAAATTGCTAGGTTAGCAGAAGCTGGGCCTAACAGCGGGAGCTCACCCCTCTCCCTGCCAACCTTTTGGTCAACAAGTTCAGTAGCTCAGGGGTTTAACCCTCTGTGCCACCAGGAGCTCCCGAAACACATATAAAAACACACATATAAACATATATATAAAACATATATATAAACATATATATAAAACACATATATAAACATATAAAACAATCAATAAACATAAATATGCATTTTAAAAACTGACTTGTCAGATCACATTGCACTTCGCTCCAGTCAATTAACATTAGCCTTCCTGACACTTCAGTCTACATTTCTTCACTGGAGACTTGCCTAAACAGAAATTTTTTCAGCTGCTTTTTGAAGGAAAAAGAGAGGGTGATGTTTTAATTTCCTTGGGGAGGGTATATTATTATTAATAATAATAATAGTAATAATAATAATGTTCCAAAGGCTCGGGACATCCACCAAGAAGGTCCTCTCTCTTATCACCACCAACTGCATTTGGAACAGTGGCGGAAGCGAGAGTAGGGATTTCCCTGATGATATTAGGGATCAGCAAGGTTGGTATGAGGAGATGTGGTCGGATAACTTAGTTGGACTGGAACCGTTTAGGGCTTTAATGGTCAAAACCAGGACCTTGAATTGAGCTCAGAAACAAATTGGCAGCAAGTGAAGGTGCTGTAGCAGAGGAGTTGTGCACTCCCTGGGTCCAGCCTCTCTGAGTAGCCTGGGTGCCACTCTTTGGACTAGTTGCAATTTCCAGGCACTCTTCAAGAGCAGCCCCACATAGAGCCCATTACAGTAGTCTAGGTGAGATGTAAGTAAGGCATGGACTACCATGGCCAAGTCTGGCTTCTCAAGTTATGGTTGCAGCTGGTGCACAAGTCTATGGCAATGTTGATGTTTCCCACCATTGTTCTAAATTCAGTGGCTAGTGCTGAATAGATTAAGATCAGTGAATTGCTGGACAGGCAATATATTTCTTGTCAGCTGAGGGAATCTGTTCTAGTTGGGATTGGCAATTGAAGTTTGGCCAAAGTTTCCCAAAGTACTAAGGAAACAATACAGGTTATTAATAAATGATAGGTTCCACCAGTCTTTTATTAATCAAACTAGCTGTCCCCTGCCACGCGTTGCTGTGGCCCAGTCTGTGTATATGTGTTTGGTGTGTGTATATATTTGTGTATATGTGTAGATTTGTGCATGCATTGTAATGTTTTTCGTTTTGTTTTGTTTTGCTTTGCTTTTTAAGTCTCTTCTGATGTGTCTTTCAGTGTTTTTATGAGTGATGATAACTTGTTGGCCTGATAAGTGTCTTGTGTCCAAATTTGATGTAAATTCACCCAGTGATTTTTGAGTTATGTTAATCCCACGAGCGAACATTACATTTTTATTTATATACTGGCCATCCCCTGCCACGCGTTGCTCTGGCCCAGTATGTGCTTATGTGTTTTGTGTGTGTGTGTGTGTGTGTGTATTTCTGTATATGTGTATATATGTGTTTGTGTGTATATATATGTGGTTTTGTGCATGCATTGTAATGGTTTTTTTTGGGGGGGTGGCTTTTAAAGTCTCTTCCACTGTGTTCTTTATGAGTGATGGTCACTCGTTGGCCTGATAGGTGTATTGTGTTCAAATTTGGTGTCAATTCATCCAGTGGTTTCTGAGTTATGTTAATCCCACAAATGAACATTACATTTTTATTTATATAGGTGATAGGTTCCTCCAGTCTCCATCTTCTTTTAAAAACACTAATGAACGTTAACTATTATTTTCTTTTTCCATAGAAATGCTTCCTCTTTGGATTCTGTATACATCTTAAAACACTAAAAACATGAAAAGAGAGAGCAGCTTCTTATTCAGAGAGCAGCACAACCAAAGGACTCGAGTCTGGACCAAGACAGAACCCTATTTCTCACAATAATCCCTCTCAGAGAAGCAAATATGGCATCCCATCAGATACAAACAAAACACATTTTTGCTGGATTCCTCCAGAAGGATGTCTTATTTAGTGCTGCTTTCATGCTCAGGCTTGCACTGGTCTTTTATGGCATTTTTCAGGACAGGACCATGTTGGTGAAGTATACAGACATTGACTACCTGGTCTTCACTGATGCTGCTAGATACATCACAGAAGGAAAATCGCCTTACTTGAGAGCCACCTACCGTTACACTCCGCTACTGGGCTGGATCTTAACACCCAATATTTACCTTACAGATTTATATGGAAAGATCCTTTTTGTGGCCGGGGATATGGCCGTTGCATATCTCACATATCAAATTCTCCTTCTCTGGGGGCTGGATAGTAGGAGCGCATGTGGGTATTGTGCATTCTGGCTCCTCAACCCCCTACCAATGACTGTGTCCAGCAGAGGAAATGCCGAGTCTCTTGTTGCCGCCCTTGTCCTTGGCACCATGTATTATATGGAAAAGAGACATTTCATAAAGGCAGCTGTTCTTTATGGCCTCTCTGTGCACATGAAAATTTACCCAGTGACTTATGCATTGCCACTGGTTCTCCATTTGCAAAATAACAGAGAGCACAGCAAAACAGGCAGTGTCTCTTCAAAAGGTGATTTTCGGGGACTTTTCCTTAAGTTGTTCAGTTATGATGTTTTGGTTTTTGGGTTGGTTTCTGGTTGTACTTTTGCTGCTCTGGGCCTTGCCTTTTATTCATGTTATGGCTGGGAGTTTTTGGAGCATACCTACCTCTACCATTTGACCAGGAGAGATATCCGCCACAACTTCTCGCCCTATTTCTACATGCTGTACTTGACTGCAGAAAGTGAGTGGAGTTTTGTCCTTGGCCTTGCTGCCTTCCTGCCTCAGCTCCTGCTGCTCCTGGTGATTTCGTTCACCTGTTACAGAGATCTCATCTTCTGCTGTTTCTTGCACACAGCGGTTTTTGTGAGTTTTAACAAAGTGTGCACCTCCCAGTATTTTCTGTGGTACCTTTGCCTGCTTCCACCTGTAATGCCTCTCTTGAGGATGTCCTGGCAGCGGGCTGCATTTCTGCTCCTGCTGTGGCTCAGTGGACAAGGCCTGTGGCTGGCACCCGCTTACTTTCTGGAGTTTCAAGGGCAGAACACTTTCCTGCTCATATGGCTAGCAGGGTTGGTTTTCCTTTTTATCAACTGTATGATCCTCGTTCAGATTATTTCTCACCATTCGCCATTACATACAACAAGAAAAATAAAGCAACAGTAAGACTTGCATGGCTGCAAAGGTCAATTCTCCATAATTTATTTACAGAAGAAGGAGTCACGGTGACTATTTTCCAGATGATTTACTCCATTTTCACATTATTGTGAAGACCTGTGAACTTTATTTTGAAAGTTCCAAGTTACCATAGGTACGATTTGCATTTTATGAATCTTTCAGAGTCTTTAGACGAAGGTTAGATGCTAACCTCTCAAGGATATTTTATCTGGACTTTTGCATTTGTTGACCCATGGAGTGTCTTCCAACTCTATATTTCCATGAGATTTTCTGCCTGTTCTCTCCTCCATCCCTACCAGTAAGTTATTTTGGCAGTAACTACTTCAAGGGCATTTCATTGGGCATTCTAGCTGAAGCAGGGTGGGGTTGTGGGCACAAGATTTTTGTTCAGGACCTGGGCAAGCATAGATCATGGAACGATTGAATTGGAAAAGACCAAATGGGCCATTCACTCCAACCCCCTCCATGCAGGGAAAGCACAAAGCTGGTGTGTTCTTCATCAACCCATTTTGCTACTTTGGCCCATCCTCTGATATTGTTTGGATGATGATGATGATGATGATGATGATGATGATGATGATATTATTATTATTATTATTATTATTATTATTATTATTATTATTATTCTCAGCTTTCACCTGTGAAATGTTGGAGATCATGCAATCCTTGAGCATCCTTTCCTCATACTGTTTTTTCTTGAGTTTTATGTTTTGCTTTGATTGTAAGCCTGAGGGCAGGGAGTGTGATCTGTTTAAGAAGCTGCTTTGGTGTTTTTCACAGCAGAAAAGCAGATCATAAATAGAATCAGCCTTCCTTCCAAAAACTGCAAAATAATCAGCAAACTTTGAAGCTTTGCAGGGCTATGCTTTCAGGTAATGTAGTCAGCCTACCACATTTTCATTTTAAGATGTTCTCTCTAGAAACCACTAAGTTTTCAATGTGTTTCTAGCATCAACTTCCACCAGAAGTTCTCATTCATGTAAAAAGAAGGGAGGGGAGGTAGAAGCTTTTTAAGGTTCATGTCCCCACTTTCATGGGGGTCTTGCATCCCAACCCCAGTCAATGTGGAGGGCTGATTTTATATATCAATCCTGAAGCAGGAGAATTGCAAAGTGTGTGTGTATCTATGTGCCTTCAAGTTATCTGTTGATGTATGACAATTCCATGAATTCCATAGGCAAGGAATTCTCAGAAGTGATTTTTCCAGTCCTTTCCTGCGAGATATATCCTTGCGGCATCTGGTGTTCATTGGTGGGCTCCCATCCAAGTACTAGGGCTGACCCTGCTTACCTTCCATGATTAGACAGGATCTGGTGCCTTTATGATATTCAGACCCTAACATTATGGAAGCACTTTTAGGAATAACTCCAGTCTAGGCCATTATATGTATGTATGTTTGTATATATGTATGTATATATGTATACGTAATTACAGCATGGTCAATGCAAGTTCTATACTCTAATTCTTATCAAAAATGGAACCACCCCTTTCTCTGAGTAGAGAGGCGAAAGACAAGAGCTTAGTTCATCATAGGAGAACCTAAAAGAAGCATTGACCCCCTTTACTCTCTTGGCCTTGGTACTATTTCTGGCCTTTTAAAATTTCTGGGTTGGGAAATGACAGTGGCAGACAGAGATGACTGGCCTCCCAGATGGCATTGGTGGCTTTCCTTCGCCATGGAAAGATCATCAACTTGTCAGTGGGTCATATCAAAACCTATAGATTTGGCCACAAAATCTGTCCTTGACATGAGATCTACTCATTAACGCATATGGTAGATTCAGATTATGCAAAGTATTTTATTTTCAGGCAGAACATGCTTACTTTTCTTTTAATTTTTAAGACCAACCCCCCCCCCCGGCCTTTTTTTTTAGTACAGTCAACGTAACAATTCACATGAGTAACACACACTTTTTGCCATGTCCAAAACTGTGAAGCATTTTTGAAAATAGGTTTTAATTAACATTTTTACTTCCATAATTACTGATGGCACCCAAGTAGTCTGTTTGCTGGCTGCAAAGAATCATGAGAAACTAGCTATTTTCAACTTGCTCATGACATTGGCTTATCAGTTAGAAAGTTCATTGTAAATTGGCATGGTTAGCCTCATGTCTGAATTGCTGGCTGTGAAAAGGTTTATGGTTCAGTGGGCCGGAGCCATTTTAAGGACAGCCAGGCTAATCATAAATCAAGGGAAACTTCTCCTTTTCCCCCAAAGCCAATTCAATTTCAGAAAAGTTCTCAGGGGCTGCATTCTAGTGATGGCATTGCCAAAAGAAAAATGCTAGAATTAAATTTTAAAAACAGCGTATTTCCATTTTAAAGCTCTTACAACCAGCATTAGGAGACACATTTCAAATATTTTAAAATAGAGAAAGCCTATATAAAATCTAGGTAATGATCAAATTATGGTGTCATTGAAAAGAGGGTGTGACAATCTGGGAACTGCAGAAGACAGGGACCCAGGAAGTTTAAATTTGGCCCCAGAGCTTGAGAATCCTCTGTTTTAAGAGTTTAGATTAGCGGATATCCTATCTGACTGGGGTATTTTTGAAAATGCTATACTGGAAGCTCAAGGATTACTCTCTGGGCCTTAAGAACATAAACTGCATGCAAGCTACCATATGTCTCTTTTGATCTGCTAAAGGTGTAACTATCATACTTGTGAAGCAGTTGTAGACTGACTGCAAAGCCAAAAGCTTTGTTCAGTACTTGTTGGGTGAACAGAGGTAACCTCATTCAGGCTGATATTTGTGAAAGCATCTCCATGCAATGATCAGGAAGTAGAACTGCTCCAAACATTGGACAGTGGACACACCACTGGACCTGCCGCCTCAGTGCTCATGAATTGGTACTAACTTCTATACAAACAAAACTTCCTCATGAGCTGTTGTGCAAGTGTTGCTGTTCTTTCTGCAGGCATTTTATAGACTGCAGAAAGTAGTTTAAAGGCAGAATTGGATAGGCAGACCTTTTCCCTGGTGATCATGAAGAGTCCCATTCATAAGGATAACATGTGAATATGACTGAGTTTGGAGGAAACTCACAATACTAGAAGCCTGTTAAGAAGTATGTGTGTGCTCAAGCCCACCTTCTACCTCTGTCTATCTTTGTTGTTGTTGGTTCATATTCTCCTTTCATGTGTCGGCTGGTGTTCTCTTCCACCTTCTCCATTGCTCAAATCTCTATTCAACTGCTGTAGCTTCTCCATGGCCAATCTGTGACTGGCGAGAAGTTGTGTCCCTATAGCCAGACACAGATACGTGAGTACCACAGCAGATCTTTCTGGGTGATATCATTGGTCTGCATCTGGCTGTGTCCTACAGGATCATGGGACTCTGCTTATCATATGTATATTACTATGTGCATTATCTTATTTACTTGCTGCATACAGTACATACTAGGAAACAAAAGATGGTGAGGGAATGGTTTACTTATTAAGCATTATGAATTAAGTACCAATGGCATTTACTCACACCTTCTCAGTCGGCACACCATACCCTCAGATTTTGCATCCATGGATTGAAGACACACATACACATATAGAACTCCAGAAAGCAAGTGTTGATTTTGTAATTTTATATAATAATTCGCTATACATTGTATGTAATCGAATGTCAACATCCATGGATTTTGGTTTAGCAGTTACGAAGGTCTCCCTATACACAGATAAATGACAGAAAGAGAGAAAAGAGAGAAATTAAGACAGAAATGTTAATTAGAGGGGCTCTTCACAGATAAAGTGAAACAAAAGTGTTTTTCATTCTTATGTATTTAGGGAGAAAGGATGAGGAATCTAGCATCTAGCTTTTAGTTAAAGCAGTGTGGACTGGACAGGAAGCCCTGGAGTCACAATGATTGGAAGGAAAGGAGGCACTTAGCCAAGGAAATTCATAAATCCCATCCCAAAATACTCTTTGCAAGTTGCAGCAACAAATCATATTGGAAACTGTGGCAAGCGCCAGCTCTACTAACTGAGCTGTAGATTTGCACAGAGCACTAGCCCTTTTTCTTGCCTGAAGAGGGACTACTAGAGAATTAGCAGCCTTGTCTGATCCCAATGGAGACATAACCTATGAAAGCTGGAGACTAGGGATCAGACATTGAGATCTGGGAATCCCAGTGATAGCTGTTGCTGTAAAGCCATGAATTTTATCAAGCTCCTGTTAAGAATTATACATGTCAGACAGACTTTATTTGGCTGGTTTAGTCACAGTATATTGACTAAAAATTGCAATATTAAAACACTATTCCCTTTGATAAAAAGTACAACTATGGAGAGAATACATGAGTAGTGACTACACAACCAACAGTGGATTTTAAAAATGCATCACCTGTCATCTCAATCTATCAAGGCCAAAAATCACAGCCACTTAACATGCAGGAAGCAAAATAATTGCATGTTGTTTAAGCCTTTAAAGTGTTTGTTGGTAACTGACATTTTGCCTCAGCCCAATTCTCCGGGTGACATATCACATCTAGCAACAAAACTGTTTGAAATTCAAGTATCATCTGAGACTGAATAAAAGCATATTTGCACAAACATAAGCCAGGACTGCATTCCTTTTTGACTGCTGAGGTTGGTCACCACCCCAGAACAATAGCATACGAATTATAAACAAGGTTGAGAAAAGATTGGTTTTACAGTTTTATGTAACTTTGGGACAAGTGGAAAACAAACAAATAAAAATACTTTTATCTTGAGAGAACATCTCTCTAGGAATTTCTAGATCTCCAGTGTGACTCCATGGTTGATGTTCACTTGATGTTGACTGTAGAATTAATGTGCTGGAGGATCTACAAATGCCCAAAGCGGTGTTCTTTATAGGAAGGAATCTCTAGGTTCTCCAGCACAACTCTGTGCTGGAAGTTGACCATGCACTGGAGGATTTAGAGATTCCTAGAGAGAACAAATTAAGTCTACATTACTACACATTTAAAAAGAAAAGGGAAATGGGCCAGGAAAGTGCAAAGAACAGGTCTGTCTACTTCACACAATTGACAAT